TGGCTTTCTCCTTGCCGCTCTTCCATGTATTTGTTGGGTTCACAACTAACAGTTGCTGTTTTGATAGATTATCTAAGCCAAGCAGTGGATCTCTGTGGCTTCTCCAGAGTTACCACTGGCCTCTTGGCTGCTTCGCTGGCCACGTTGCTCGACATGTCACTTCAGGAAGACTGCCACATTTTAGTAGGTTTGAACCACGATGTATCCAACAATCATAGGAATTGTGAAATACTCCTTTCGCTTTTAGATAAGAGCTTGCATAATGCTCTGTGAGAATCTTATAGCCTGGATGTTTCAACTTTATTCCTGGCTTGGTATGTCTCATGGTCTTGATGATTAGTTCAGTTATGTTCTCCAACAAAAGAGGACTTCACAGAAGGTTTTATACATGTATTAAATTTTGCAACTTCTACATGCCATGCACCGTTTTATTTATAAAAGTGTAATAAACCATGTTGTATTTTTCTTCCATTTCGCAATTATGCATCATCATGATGCTGATAAAAAAAAAAAACAAAAAAAAACAATATGAACATTTGTGGTTGCTCCAAAACAAAATGCAAAAAGCACTAAATGTGATTTGTTTTTGTTTTTTTTCTGATATCCTGTACAAAGATAAGCTAAGCTGTGCAGTTTTACAGAAATAGAGCTCACGCAATGTTTGGAGATGCGTTCACACAGATGCTGAAGCTCAGCATTGTGCAACCGTCTCATATTCTGAAATATGAGACAGTTGCATATTCTGTCATAAAATTAACATTTTTATGACAAAAAAAATACAAGTTTGAACCCAACAAAAATAAAATAATTTAAGAGCCACATTTTCAAGATGAAGGCATCTTCAAAGTGCTTCATACAATACTTCCCACCATTAAATATTTTTTTTCTGCTCCTGATCTTTAAAACATTAGTTGATACTAATAATTATGGCTGTTAATTTTACAGCCATAAAATCTTTGTGAAACATTGCACCATTATCACCAATCATAATCAACATCCTTCTCACAAAACTGGTTTGTTTTTATAAGGCAGTGAATGTGAGAACAGGTGTTTTGGAATCCATGTCTGAAAGCTCATATGCAAGAATTACAGATATGAGGTTAACATCTTTGAAAAGCTTCTTTCATCTCGGCGCATTATGCTAAGTATTCACAAAACATTGCTCTAAATATAGGGCTACAGCACATTGCAGATTAGCCTGTGTCGTGATGGGTGTTGTTTAATACGGCAGCACAGTGCTGTCTTCTCCTTTTGATTGCTAGCGCTTGGAACGCCACAACTAAAATAAGATAAATGTTTTTTTTTGTCTTTGGGGGGGAAAAAAATCTCATGTGCTGAAAACATTTGGACAAACCTGAGGTAGAATTAGCCTTTCCAAGGGACTGCAGCGGAATAAAAGTGATGCCACTGGAGTTTATTTTTTGAGTGTGGGCATCTTCCCTTTGGCTGTTTGAAGGCATTAAATAGAGAATGACATCTTAGCTCTCTGGGCAAACTCTAATCACAGAAGCTCACAGCCAATGAAAACATTGACTTGCTCGATTTTGCTCAAGTCCTGTTTCAGCAAAGACATCCATCCTCTAATACCGCAGTTTTTTGGGGTTTTTTTTTTTTTTGCCTTTGATGTGCAATCACACATTCACATGTGTCCTGCTCACTGACTCACCCAAGCACAATACATTTGCTGAAATAAAGTCACTGCAGTGTATGTGACCCATTTTGCAGAGGCAGGGCTTTGCTTTCATAACAGCAGAGTGTGAGGGAACGAGCAAGTGTACGAATGCATAAATGGTGTATTCTTGCGCCGGGATGCTGCTGCACAACAAGCTTTTAAATCTTGAAAAGAAAATCATAGGTTGGTTTCTGGTGAGAAATGCTACTGTCCAGTAATAACGCCGTTAGTCATACTTTACTGAGGGTTATAGACTAGACAGAATCAAAAGCGGTAGCAAAAGGTGAGAAAAAGGAGAAGCATTATAATAAGTCACAAAAAAAATGTAAAAGTATATTGCACGGCGTGTAATGTGCGATATATTTCATGTTTCTTAAGTGTGGCGACAAGCCTCAAAACCCTTAAACATGCTCCTCGAGCAGTTAATAATCACTGTTTCACGGTGTTGGAGGACCAAAGCGTAGATAACGTTTTGTATTGAGATAACGCCTTGCCTTATTCCTGCCGCCTCGCGTTAGCACAGGAGACAAACGGAACAGGAGCATCGCCTTGAAGCCATCCAAATGAGGGTGTCTGCAATGGAGTGAAGTGAACTGAAGTGAAGAAGGAGGTGGAGAAGGCAGAAGAGGGAAGTGGAGAGCAGTGGGGGTGAGGGGTGGGAGGCAAGTGCCACAAAAATCAGGGAGAGGCTGCTCGACCCTCGCGGCGCATTACGGCAGCAGTCAAGTGAATGTGAAAACAAGGGAAAGCTTTGCGGAATATCGATTTAATGCTGCAGCCTGAGCAGGGGGAAGATGCGTGCTCCAGATTACATGCGCTCTATTTCCCACCCATACAGGATCCTTGAGCTCCTCTGTCTCCACACTCTGGAGGACCACAGAGAAACGGGGAGAGGATGCTCTTTTATGTGCCGTTTCCCTCTGTGAAGTCCAACTGTGTAAAGAATTAATGCGGAAATAAAGAAAACTGCGGGAGAACACAAATAGTAGGAACATTTTATGCTAATTTCAGGTATTTCAAAGAGAATACAAAAGAGGCCACTTTCTGGTGGTTACCTCCATATCTATGGATTGCCTCCTTCTCTTTTAATTATCTCCACATCTCCTAAATAATAAACCAGCTTGGGACCTTATCAGGATGAGAGAAATCTATAGCAAAACCGGTGTAGATCTTGCTATAACAGCAAAGCAGGAGGAAAATCTTTCAAACTGGCCTTTAGTTCTCTTGAAAGTGAAAATGTAAATGTGTAAATGTCATTAACTGTGTGAGATATGTGTGATCAGAAACTTCCTCTTTTTTTCTTAGTATTTATCATGTTTGTGAACATAAGTTGCCTTTGTGCTATATAGAAGATGACTGCACATAATAATTATCCATGAAAACTATTCTGCTGGATGTGTCACAAATAGTGTTATGTAGAAATATTCTAAATGCTAATGAAACTTTTACTTTTCACGCTACATCAAAGTCAAGGCAGACCCCCCTCCCACCCAAAATAAAAAAAAAAAAGTGTTCAGAGTTCACAGGGCTACATGTCAGACTCTAAATCACTGGGGGCGGGGCTGATACAAGGCTGCCATTTCACCAAGGTGTTCCATGAGCAGATTTTCTGTAACATATTTGCATGATCAATCAATGGGAAGTGGCCCACTCCATTTTTTGATTTGTAAATGTGAAGTTGGTCTCTGATTCAGATATATGTGCTAAACTCATGGACTATTTTATTAAATATTGAGGAATCTGAACTGTACTTAATAATTTCAAGTTCAAACTCTGCAATGGTTCGACTGGCTAAACCTGAACTAGGATAGTTGCTATATTTTGCAGTATGATATGTATTTAAGTGCTATGCATTCAGCACCAGCATATTGGTAATGTGTTTAGCCAGTTGCATAGACTAACTGCCACACCTGATGTGTATCTTTTTAGATCAGATGTGAGGACATCATTCAATGGTAAAGAAAGAAACTGACAGGATAGTATTGTTTACTTACAATCAATACTGTCATCACAATTTTCAGCAACACTACAGCAATTAAATACTAGCTGTGCTTGAATCTGATTGGCTACCCTGCCTGGACACCCCCACCAGAGCAGACTGTGGAGTAAAACGAATAAATGTTCGGAAAAGCATGCAGCTAAAGGTAATCTGAGCCAATGATGTTTACCAAATATAGGTCAGGATTTTCCCAATATATAGTCATATACGCTTGTCCGACAAGTCAAAATAAAAATATTCTTGTCTGTCTATATGTTGATGTATAGGTATAGATATTTATTTATTTTAACTTGTCAGACATGCTTACATGTATCCTGACTTCTTACCAAATCTGTCTTGGTGTGATTTGATCAGTGGGATTAGCATATTGTGCATGTCTTCTACTTTTATTCCTGTTTTAAGAGGAGGAGCTTTGACTGTGATGGCTTAAGCTCCTGTCACAGTTGACATCCAACGTCACAATGTCACTGGTGTAAACATCTAACTTCATTCATTTCACATGTACTCTTGGCATTTGTGTTATTCCTGAAGTCAGTAACAGTTTTCTTTCTCACCTCACCCTACTTATTGAGAAAGCATCACCTGAACCCAAAGATGTAAAACCCTGGTGGAAAGTCAAAACATTAGTTTTTTTGTTTGTTTCTTTAAAATTACAACAAACTTCTTTGAGCTATTTGAGGTCTGGAATTACAGGGTTTTTGTTTGTTTATTATTATTTTATTTTATTTTTTTTACAAAACTTTTATCATTTTCTGTAAAGAGTCTCAAAATGAATGTTTAGGAAAGGCTGCTAGCATTTTATGAAATAAAACTTTTGATTTAAATACATCAGCAAAATTACAGGGACTGAAGATTTTGATGTGGCTGTTTAATCTTTTCAAGAGTTGCACAAATAGGGTGGAAACGCAGGAATTCACTGCGGATGATATCCATCCAAGAAATCTAATTGCTATAAATTATTTTGAGGCAAAATTTAAAGCCATAGCCATTTATTGAAAGGGTTGCAAACTGATTTTTCTTTTCTTTCTTTTTTTTTTATCATAATACTGAAAATATTTTAAATGTGTCCTGTAAATTTATCCAGGAAACCAGCCAGGAAATTGAGGGTGTAAATGTTCCTCTTTCACCCTTGACCAAAGAGGCAAACCAGAGGATAAAAAAGCATAACATCTCAATACCAATTTGTTACTTATGCTCTCCTACCGCCCACCCCCTACCCGCTCTTGCCATGTTGAAAATTATGAACACTCAGACTCGCACATTCTTGCGCACAGCCAAGTGAGGTGGCGCCTCCGCGTCCGTCCTGGGCCAATGGCGCGCAGGGTAGCCTTATCATACTTCTACCCGACTGGCCAATGGCGCAGCGCTCCCCGCTCACATGACGCCTTTCTGTGCGCTCTCCAGTCCTTTCAGGCGCTCAATCCCGGCGAGTGCAGGCATCACTGAAGACCTGACATCGGAGGAAATCGGACGTCCGCTCTTCTCTCCCTGCAACTGACTGACCAGGTGTTCATCTTAAACAAACTTTACCTCCTTACGACGAGGCTGACCAAGCACTCCGGCCGGCGGAGGATGGGCGCCGCTTTTGCCGCTGGAAGAGACTTTTTGTGTCCAAACGGGGGAAAGGCAGACAGCGAGACAATAACACCCCGAAGTTATTGTAATAAATTGTAAGTGGCGAGATATAATATTTTCCGTTTTTTTTCTGGATGCTCTTGTTCGCAAAAGTGATGACTTTGAAATCAACTTAATTTTCAAATGCATAACTTGTTTCACTTTTGCATGGCATGAGTTCTGTTCTTTTTAGTGTTAATTTAAATAGATATTTAGACATAAAAAAAAATCACCTTCATATGCTGGTGTATCATAACACACTTGATTTAAGTTAATGTTTGAGTAATCTGAGTTTGTTTTGTTTTTTTCCTGTCTCTGCTGTCGGCATTCTTTGTGTGTCTCTGTGAATGTCCTCATTGTGAATGTGTGGCTGTCTCCGCGCAGCGCCATAGAATGAAATATAGATAAAAAGCACACAGTAAACCCGTTGACCCCAGTCAGGCAGGCAGGCTGTGCAACCGGTCCACACGGCTCAATGAGGACAATTAGGGGGGGACCGACAGGAGAAATAAATGGAGTACTTGAGGCGCACAGAAACAGGTCTGCGCTTCACTTCAAACCGCCTGACGGAGATGAAGGTGAATTTTAAGTCTTATATCGAGATAAAAAAATTAAATCCCCCCCCCCCCCCCCCCCCGCCCGCTCTTACTTGTTAAGTAAAGTACCTTAAATGTCAAATTTCAGTGAATTGGATTTCACCTTATGCACCTTATGGGGTCATGTCATTCAGTGAACCTTTTTATTGATTGGAAATTAGAGGGTGCTGGGGGTCATAGGTGGGAGGAGGGAGTACAACATTTATGTACACTCCAGAGTCGATCCAAAAAATTGGTGCCCTCAGATTTTTTTTTTTTTTTTGTACCTACTACACAATCAGAGGGAAAGAGCAGGGGACCGGGGCCATTTGATGTTTTGAAAGGCTTCAGATGGCTTTAATTAGGACCTATAAAATCTGTCTGCCCCGTTCTCTCAGGCAGCGGTCTGGAAAAGCAAGAAAGGGAGGGGAACGGGCAAGAGGAGAGAAGGAGGGAAAAAAGAAAAGCAAACCCGACACAGAAAGTCACTTCAGTGGAGGATCGTCTAATCAAAATTTTATAACCCTCCTCTTTTTTTTCTTGTCGCTCCCTCTCTAGACTCCCACCCTCTGTTTCTTGATGCTGGTGGTATGTAGGCAGCGCTTCTTATTCCCCTCTTTGTCTGGCTGCTGTCTTATCTACTCTCACCCACCCCATCCTCCCACCAACCCTCAAACCTAACTATCGCCTACAGTACACCGACCCCAGACACCTGAAGCCTAGACATAATGATCAAGAGAAGTTTCAGTCTGTCTGAAGTGCAGCCAGTTGTTTTTAGGTTTTCGTCTTCTCCTCCCACTTTTTCCCCGGTCCTGTTCTCTTGCTGGCCTGGCTTGCCCTGCCTGTCCCTTGCTCCTCAACCCCAAATCAAGACGCACTATGTTGTTTGCGAGTTCCTGTGTTTGCATGCAAAAAAGGGTTGCAGTTTCAGTGCTACTGTGCTGCTGTCGCCGTGCAGCCTGTATGGATATTGGATGAATGTGGGTGAGTCACAGAACTGCAATAGACACACACGCAAACGCACTCTCATGAGGAAACATCAAAGACTTCTTCTGCCTTCTATTGTGTGAGTGTGTCTGATGCAGATTCTGCTTGTGTTCTCCAGGCAAACATATGTATAAGTGTACAGTTTTCGGTGGTATGCTCTGTGATTCGCTTTACATTTTTTTGTCTAGTTTTACTATTGCTACAATTTGTTTCCAAATGAACCACAGGAAACTTTGATCCATGATTTTTTATTTTTTATTTTTTTTTATTTTTTTTTAAATCTTTTTTAAGTTCTTCCTTTGTTGGCCAAATTAAATGTCGATGTGGAATATGGTCCATAAAACATCAGGACATATTTTTTCACACAGTAAAGTTAACTCTGTTTTAAGTCTTGGTTGAGCACTCCATCTCTTGAACAAAGACTGATTGATGGCGCAGAGAAATCCTTACAATGGCCCGCCGCAAGCATAATTCTGTTGAATAGTCATAGAAAAACAACATTGCTCTCCATCTGAAAAACACATATAAATATGAAAAAAAAAAAAAAAAAATTATATATATATTTATATTTATATATATATAAATATATATGAATGTTTTTT